AGAATTCCTACCAACTGTGTTTTGTGGTCCCTTTTAGGGTCTACGGCGACCCTAAGCAGTCATAAAATGGCAACGTCGTCATATACTCAAAACGAGCCGACGGTGTTCGATGATTGTGTAAAAACACAAATAAAATCGGTAAACCAAAACAAAATGACCTGTTATTGATTGGTCCCTTTTAGGGTTGAAATTTCAGCACTGCCACGCCCATCATCTCACAATAGAGGTCCCTTTTAGGGGTCATTTTCACAATCTCCGCCGAGGACCCCCGCCCTTTTGACATATGCCCCCCGGGGCATATGCCATAAAAAGGACTATGATATGATTGTAGTTATTGTATTTTTTTTAGATTTGCTTGACAAGATCCCAAAAAAATAATTCTTATCATGCTCACATAGGACAAGCTTCCACTGCAAGATTTCTTTTAGATAAAACCAGCAGCAAATGCAACCTTGTTTATCATGGAAATGATGTTTTTGTTTCCAGGTAAATAACTAATGATATACTATTTATTACATGGAAATATCTTGAAAATGCAGATTATATATATTGCCTGCAATCTGTTGCTTGACTGAAAAGAAAGAGAGCTAGGCTATTACATGGGCGCGCGGAGATACAGATTTTATCTTCAAGTGCTGAAGAGATATATCAATTGAACACTAGAAGATAAGATTCGTATCTCCGCGTGCCCATGTAATATCCTCTATATCTCAATAATAGCAGACACACTCTGAGGCATCATTTGCATACTGCAAGGCATTATTATAAATGTTTCTCTGCAAAGAAGTCAAACAAAAGGCAATATGTTTTAAATATATTTGTTTGGAATTTTTAGTCTTGTCCAGATTGAATTAATTTGCAGTACTGATGAAGGCAGGCTTGAGGAATTTACCAGTACTGATCATGTAACAAATGATGACTTGAATAGTTATGTGAGTTAAATTACATTTATTTTCAATAATACACCTACCTTACAATAAGAGGTGAATAGTCTATTACTGATTGGTTTTTGTGTATGTTTTTATAGCAATCTAGGCTCTATTCTAAGTACGCTTGTCCAATT